GAAGCCAAGGTAGAGGACTAGGCTCCAAGTGGTTGGATCGAACCTCTATAAATCATTGAGCAAGCTCTTCTTCTCTACTCTCTTTAATTTTGGTTTTGTGGTTGCAAAAAGGGGAGAATTTTTGGAACTCCAATTCACCCCCCTCTTGAAGTACATTGAGTCAACAATATGGTATTTGCAACATGGAAAAACTTTAGAAGATGGCTTAGTGCGAATTGTCAATGATGATTCAGTGAAGGAGGTGCTAGAAATTATAAAGGTTGTCAATGTTATACACGTTTATATACTTCATTTCCCTGACTTTGCACATGTAGAAGAAGAAGTGCTTCTTTTACCAGCTCCTGGTGATGATCAAAAGGAGGACAATGACGATGCAACTGACAATGTTCAACCTAATGTTACTGAGGAAAGTGTTGGCGCTGATGGGGCTGCTGCTAACGTTGCTGAGGAAGGTGTTAGTGTTAAAACTCATGATGGGGGTGCTGTAACTGATGATGGTGTCAGAGTTGAATCTGATGATGATGAGGAAGATCATATTATTGATGTTCTTGAGTTAACAGACAATGAAGATGAAGAGACGTTGCAAGCTAGAAAGAATGTCAAGTTTTTCAACAACATTGAGGATAGCATTGAGAAAGACCTTAAACCACCAATAGTTGATGTAAAGTATTTTGATGCACATACTACAGGTATTTGTTCTAAACTAACTTCAATGAGTTTTGAGTTCTTCACTATGTGACTTTCTTTAATGGAGAATCTATATTGTTTAGCAAGTTCTAGTGCTAGAGGACCAAATGGACAACATTTGGATGAAGTTGATGAGATAGGGAGTGATGAAGAAGATAGCTATCTCTCAACATCTGATGATGAAGCAAGTGAAGCCAAACATGGTAAAAGGAGACGGGCCACGCATAAGGTATACCAAGAGCCAGGAGATGATGAGACTCCTAACATTAGATTAGGAATGATGTTTATCAACAAGCAACAATTTAGGGATGTTGTGAATAAGTGGAACCTCAAGCAGAGGCGAGATATTAAATGGATAAAAAATGACAATATAAGATGTAGGGCATCATGTGTGAAGGCGCCAAATTGTCCATGGTAGATTTGTTTGGCAATGGACAAACCAACTGAATCCTGGATGGTGAAGACATTTGCGTCTGAGCATACATGCCACTGGCTGTTAAAGAAGAACAAGCGGTGCAACTCAACAATAGCTGCAAAGCACTTGGTGAGGCACAGAGGGTTTACCGCCTTGTACATGAGGCGAACTGACATTTATAATGTCATTAGGAAAGAGTTAAGTGTTGAGTTATCTAACCATCAACTGAAAAAGGTGAAGGAGAAGATTGGGAAGGCATTTGAGGGTGATTGCAAGATTGAATATGGTAAATTATGGGATTATGCTGCAGAGCTTCGGTTGAAAAACCCTGCTACCACCATCATTATATCGGCATCAAGACCAACTACAGATTTAAATCCTGTTTTCTTAAGGATCTACATATGTTTTTCTGCAATGAAGTTGGGATTTGTAGCTGGCTGCAGGCATGTTATTGGTCTTAATGGTGCCCTCCTTAAAAGAGCATTCAAAGGAGTATTGTTGGTTGCTGTTTCTAGGGATGCAAACAACCAGATGTATCCACTTGCATGGGCAGCCGTGGAAGGTGAAACCATAGAGACCTGGATCTAGTTCCTTGAGGAGCTGCAAAAAGACATGGTGATTGGATCAGGGAGTAATTTCACATTCATTTCTGACCAACAGAAGGTATATTCCATGGTTCTATTATGTTTATGAATCTTTCTTTTTCCCAAATTGGTCCCTGAACTTTAAAGTTCAGGGACCAATTTGGGAAAAATAACTTAGTTGGTAATTATATGCACTCATTGAGAACATGTGATTCTAGGGCTTGATACATGCAATTGAGGATCTATTTCCAGATGCTGAGCATAGAACATGTGCTAGACACAAATATGCCAACTTTCGAAAGAATAATAGAGGCAAAGAATTGAAGGTAGCATTTTGGAGATGTGTTAAGGCTAACACTGAACATGACATCAACAGGGCATTAACTGAGTTAAGGCATATTGAACCAAGTGCAGTCCCTGCCATCATGAGCACACACCCTAGGTTTTGGTCAAAGGCTTTTTTCAAAGAAGATAGTAAATGCGATGTCGTCGATAACAACATGTGTGAGGTTTTTAATAGTTTAATACTGGAAGCAAGGCACAAGGTCATATTCTCTATGCTGGAAGACTTGCGGGCAATGTGTGGCCGGAGGACGGTGGCTAGGAAGAAATATGGTCACAGGAAATTTGTTAGGAAGTTTGGTCCCAAAATTTAGGCAAAAATTGTTGCTGCCCGAGACAGTAGCAAGAGATGCACACTTTTATGGCCTGGTGGTGACGGGTATGAAGTTGATGATAATGGGCAGGCAACTTATATTGTAAATGTGGAGAGAAAGACATGCACTTGCAGAGTTTGGAATTGACTGAAATACCATGTAGGCATGCAGTTACTGTGATCAACCATAGACAAGAGAATAATGAGGACTATGTAGCACACTGGTACAACAAGCACATGTTCATGGCAAGTTATGAATATGAAGTCCCAATCATAAAAGGAATTAACCAATGGAAGGAAACTAAAATGCCACCTATGCAACCACCAAATCCAAGAAAGATGTCTGGCAGGCAAAAGAAGAAACGACAGCCAGAAGAATGGGAGGGGAAAACATCTATTGGCAGAAAAGGGAGGTTGATGACCTGTCAAAAATGCTTCAAAAGGGGGCACAACTCCAGGTCATGTAAAGGAGTTCCACCAAACATTGTAAGTTAAATTTGTAATTAATTATTGTCAATTCTCTATGTGTTTTATACATTATTTTTTTCATATGTATGTATTATGTATTTGTAGCAAGAACAAAATGAGGATCAAGCAACTCCGCAAGAAGAGCAGCCTCAAGGTGTTGATGAAAACATTGGAGCTAATGTGGAAAACCCAATGAGCCAAGTGGAGGATCCTCTTAGTCATGTTCTTAATAAGGCACCTACTCCAAATAGATTCAGTCAAACAGCAAGAAGAAAACAAGAAGTTGTAAGGTTCTAAACTAATCAATTTTTCATTTTAGGGTATGGTATGCTAAATATACTAACAAATGCACATTGATTCTTTAGTGTGAAGGAAGCTCAAAAAATGCACAGCCACGGAAGAGGGCTAAAAAGAACTGTGCAACAACAACCACAGGCCCCTCCCAATCACAAGCAGCAACTACTTCAGTAGCCAAAGATAAAGGGAAACAACTAAAGAAGCCACGACAGCCAAAGAAGAAACCTTGAATGGCTGCAAATGCATCAAAGTGAGATTGATGAAGATTGATTTTTTAGTATTTTGTTAGGTTGAATATGTTAGGGTGAGCATATTTTGTGTGGGGTTGTCTTTTGTGTATAACAATTATGGTTGGTTGGTAAATGTAGTTATTGGTCTAATGTGTAGTCCATAATTGTATTTTTCGCTTTGGTTTTATTTACAAAATTTGCTTAGGTTTGTATGTATGAAACTGCATTCATGCAATTGTTGTAAACACTGCATCTTAGAATGGTATGCACGTTATATAAGTGCTTATTTTCTCAAATTTATATACAATCAAGTACAACATTTATAACAGATTCCAACAGCACAGAATTTTCAATATTATATTAGGTTTTTGGCAAAGAGGCACATTACAATTGGTCTAGACAAAAAGAAATACTTCTATAGGCCAATAAACCAAAGTAGTTGGTACTGTATTGTACTGGTCGGTACGGCCGGTATGTACCGATTTTGGAGGTTAACAAAAACAGAATAAGTTAAAATTTCGTTTCGATCAAATTTCAAGCGTACAGGTCAAATTTTGATGTACCAACCAAATTTTGGGTACCGACTGATACACCGAAATTTGACCGGTACATTATGCAAGAATAAAAAAAAAAAAAAAAGATTCCCCAGCCTAAACGACATCGTTTTGCTTGGGGGTGGCTTCTTCTTGACTTAACCCTGCAATTTCATATCGTGCCTCTCCTATTTTCTCCAACAGCCGTCGATCTTTCCTCTGTTCTCCAGCTCCAGCCGTTGCTTTCTCTCCTTAAGCTTCTTCATTAAACCCTGCACTTTCAGATCGCACCTCTTCTCTGTTCTCCAGCATCCAACGATCATTGAGGCTTGAGCTCCACTCCTCGCAGGTGGTCCAGCCACTCCAGCCGCTGCCGGCAGTCCAAATCCAGCCACTACTCTCTCTTCCTCCACTCTCCAGCAGCCCAACTCCATCTCAGGTATCTTCACATTTTCATTCTGAGGTTACTTTTTCTGTTGGTATGCATACAGCTGCTGACTGCATAGTCCCTTGCCCGTGTATAAAAAAAAAATTCAAATTATATCCATGTAACTAGTATAAAATAAACATGTAGGTGTCTCGAACCTTTTGGTATTTAGGCATTTCCAGCAAACAATGTTAGCTATTCTAGATATGGATTGGAGATTTGGATCTCATTTCGTTTCTTCTTTTATTACAATTGATTGCATCTACCAAAATCTTGTTACAAATCAGATTCTGGCTATGTTGGGAACTAATGCCGTGCCTTTCATTTTTTTGGTTGAATGCCGACTGCCGACTGTTGATTGTTGAATGCCAACTGTTGAGTGCTACTGGTGAATCATGAATGTGCATTTCTTTAAGTAGTTTTGTCATTTTTACATCCATTTCTATTTCTCTGCAGTTTCATGATATAATTAGCAGGGTTGCTCTGATATTTTTTTGGTTGAATACCGATTGTCGACTGTCGACTGTTGATTGTTGAATGCCGACTGTTGAGTGCTACTAGTGAATCATGAATGTGCATTTCTTTAAGTAGTTTTGTCATTTTTACATCCATTTCTATTTCTCTACAGTTTCATGATATAATTAGCAGGGTTGCTTTGATATTTTTCATTTAATTTTTATTATGTAATTATTTGCTTTTTTTCCTTGGTGGTTGTTTTGGTAGGATATCAGTTTCAAATCTATGGTTTAAGGTTGCTATGATATTTTTCATTTAATTTTTGTTGTGTAATTATTTGTTTTTTTCCTCGGGGGTTGTTTTTGTAGGATATCATTATGAATACTAGTGGTTCAGGGACTACTACTGGTGATTCTATTGGATCTGTGCCTTCTAAAACAGATGATTCTGCTTAGGCGCATTGTTTGATTGTCCTAGGCAAGAGGAATCAAACAAAATGTCTATATTGTGATAAGCTTATACAAGGGGGTGGAATTACTAGATTGAAAGAGCACCTTGTTGGAATTAAAGGCAATGTTGGTGCATGCAAAAAAGTTTCAGCAGATGTAAAATGGCAAATGCAACAGTTGTTAAGTGAGATAAGGAAAGAGAAAGAAAAGAGAAAAAGACTTGGAGATATGGTTGGGAGTCAATGTGGGTCACAAACATTTGTTGAAGAAGATGATGAAATTGAAGAGATCCCTTAATCTCAATCACATGTAGCACAACAAAAGAGGAATATTAATTCCTATTTTGTACCAAGGACAACTCCTAGAGCACAGAAAACTATAAAAAGTGCTTTGCAATCAAAAGAAAAACAAGAAGCTGCTAGGATGGCTATTGTTAAATGGTGGTATGGTGCTAATGTGCCTTTCCATGTTGCACGATCAAAATACTATTTGCCAATGTGGGATGCTATCACATCTATGGGACCAGGTTTCAAGGGACCAAGTTATCATGACTTGAGGGGTCCTCTCTTAAAATGTGCAGTAAAGGAGGTTAATGAATGGCTTTTATCCTTGAAGTCAACATGGAGTACTAATGGTTGTTCAATTCTGGCTAATGGATGGACAAATCAAAGACAACAACCAATAATCAATTTCCTTGTTTATTGTCCTAGAGGAAGTATGTTTTTGAAGTCCATTGACACTTTTGGTTTGACAAATGATGCTGAAACATTGGAGAGGATGTTTGATGAAGTGGTGAAAGAAGTAGGAGTGGAGAATGTTGTGCAATTTATAACAGACAATGATGCCTCATACAAAGCTGCTAGGAAAAGGTTGGAAGCAAAGTACAGCACATGTTTTTGGTCTCCTTGTGCTGCCCATTGTATTGACTTGATGTTAGAAAATTTTTCTGATGTAAGATACTTTCCTGTGATTGATACTACTATAGGAAAGGCAAGAAAAGTCACAAAGTTCATATATAATCATTCATGGGTGCTAGCATTAATGAGGAGAGACTACACAAATGGGAGAGATTTGTGTCGTCCTACTGTTACGAGACTTGCTACTCACTTTTTGAGCATCCAATGTTTGTTGAAATTTAAGAAGGAACTTAGACAAATGCTTACAAGTGATGCATGGGTTGGTTCTAGGTATGCAAGAAACAGTGTTGGGAAAGAAATATGTGAAATTATCTTGGAAGATAAAGAATTTTGGTCTAATTGCATATTAGTTGTCAAAATCAGTGAACCTTTGGTGAAAGTGCCTCAACTTGTGGATAATGAAAAGAAGCCAAGCATGGGCTACTTGTATGAGGCAATTGATAAGGCAAAGGAGACAATAAAAAAGAATTTTAATAATAGGTTGTCTCACTACATGCCTTACATTAATGT